CAATATGTTTTATAAGAAAAGGTGTTGATTCTGATGTACAAAGTCTGTAATCTAACATGAAATTGTTGGTTCTCTTGTAGACTGGAGGAAGGAGCACTTTCAGATTTGTGAGTGACTGGGAAGATCTTTCTGAGAGTTCCTCTTGTCTGGGAGCTTCTGGCCTTTTCTTCGGTTCTCTGTGGTGACACAGATGCAGACACCATTGGTAACAGTGGGTGGGTTGTGGAGGTGGTAGTCATGTAGCTGAAGTTAGAGGGTGTGATGATGTTGGTCCAAACTGGTCTTTAAAGGTACTGTGATGGATTTAACTCCCCAATCAGTCTTTTGGTTCCTTATCCTGTATGGAGGGCTGTGGACTGGAATCACTAGCTCTCAGTTCAGGTGCTTAGCCCTCTCTTCATGGCACTAAGTAGGTCTGAGGGAAGGTGGTTTTGTGTGCTTATTATAATGCAGGGGAGGGGCTTGTGTGATTTGTTAACTCTCTTTACAGGGTCTGCCACTCTGGATCCACATTCTGCCCATCGCAGCCTTGCCCTCTCTCAGGAAAACATGAGTGTGACCTTGAAGAATAACTTTGAAGTCCTGTACAACAGATACAGTGTGTTGGGCACCAAGGGCATTGGGTCAGGGCGATATTACTGGGAAATAAGAGTCAGTGATGAATACACAAGCAAGTGGGGTGTGGGGGTTTGTAGGGAAGATGTGGATAGGAAAGCGTGGTTAAGACAGTGCCCAGAAAAGGGGTTTTGGGTTGTGGAATATTTTTACGATAGCTATTATGCCTGCACTGCTCTTAATAAAAGAACAACAGCTTATACATACCCAGGTCTTAGAAAGGATTCCCCCCACTTAGGGGTTTTCCTGGACTACAATGGTGGGGATGTCTCCTTCTACAACATGACTGATGGGTCTCATATTTTCTCATTCTCTCAGGTTTCCTTCACTGGGACCCTCTTTCCATATTTCATGATTAGGTCAGGAACCCCATCCCTCACTATCTGTTCCATGGTAGGTGGGCCCAAGGGAACACCTGTGCTTCTTAACAAATTGCCTTCTTCTCTGAATGAGCAAATGAGTCCTCCAGAGGAGGGGTTGAGATCTGGCTCTGGTGGTGAGGATGTTCTCCCAGGGGTTGAATCTCCATTACTCCCCTCTGGCCCCAGGATTGTGCCCCCATAAGGACCTATCTTTATGTGGGTCCCCTCACGATGGCTCTATTTGGAGCTTCAGACTCCCCAATGTGAAAGACTTTGAGGTGAGTGCTGGATGGCACTGGGAGTCATGTGGGTGACTCTGAGAATTGTCGATTCATGTCTTTGTTCCGGTAGCAAGAAGAAATAAACTGACTTTTATTTGAGCTGGTTCAGTGTAAGTAGAATTTGACTGCGGAAGTTTATTTTACTTTGGTTGTGAAAAGTACTCTGTGAGCATTTTATGTTTGTATATGAAAGGAGAGGGGTTGAATCCTCTGCAATGTAGTTTGCTTTATCCAACTGGACTTTGTACAGAGTGTGGGATCCCACCTCTATTCTGAGGGGCCTATGCAATTTGATCAGGAAGTGTTCACCTTCAGAATTTTCTTGGGACATGGGGGGTTGGACTTGTAAGATGAAAGAGTCAAATGTAATTTTCATATACTTATTCTTGGATAGTGGAAACACATCTCTTTTTCCCAAATCATCTATAAAATTCTCCTACTTGTGAACACACTGTGTATGTTAATTCTGGAAATTAAGAAGAAGGAAGTGGCTTCCTCTTATGGTCCACACTATGTAGAAAGAAGAGAACTTCTAACAAAATTAAAATGTAAATGGATAGGAGAATATTCTGGAGCAGAGAACTGCAGAGAGCCTTGACATGAGCATTGTCTCAGTTATTGGTGTTAAAGGAAAATGGAAAACCTCAGCATCTCCAAGGGGACAGGACTACTGAGTACTGAGACAGACATTTCAGGAATGAAGGTGTAGTCACTCCACCAGGTAAAGAACTCTGAGGTTCTGGCTGAGGGTGGGGAAACAAGGAAAAGGAAGCAGAAGAGAAAAGTCATAGACATCATCTCTGGAACCAATTACATAAAATAAGCAAGAACTATAACAACTTTCCATATTTTTTCTTTGGTTCTCAAGTGTATGTGTTTATTTGTTTACATAGACTATTTTCTTCTTCTTCAATTTATTATTTTATATACAAGTTGGTGGCTGCTATGTTAATTATAGAGAATATGATAACAGAATACCCACTGAAACTGTAACTGAATTTAAGGAGTTAATAATTTAGCAGTGACTGTGACTTGTTTTGGGAAATGGATAAGGACTTGTAACGATAGCTTTGTCTTGAGA